TGGGTTCGATCCTTAGCACCACATAAAAATAAATAAACAAAATAAAGGTTTTGTGTCCATTTACAACTAAAAAAAAATTTTAAAAAAAACAATGAGGACATTCTCAGCCAGGTGTTGTGGTGCAAAGCTGGAATCCCAGTGCCTCAGGAAGCTGAGTCCAGAGGTACACAAGTTTGAAGCCAGCCTCAGCAACTTAGTGGGATCCTGTCTCAAAATAAAAAAATAAAAGGGCCAGACATGTGGTTCAGTGGTAGGATGCTTACCTAGAATGTATGAGGCCCTGGGTTCAATCCCCAATCCACACACAAAAAAGGATGGGACAACTATCAAAATCAAGAAATTTAATATTGATATAGTATTATCTAATATATAGTATATATTGTCTAATTATTTAATATTCAATATCTAAAACAGATGCTCCTCAACTTCCTATGGGGTTACATCCTGAAAACCTATGGTAAATTGAAAATATCATAAATCAAAAATGCATTTAATACACCTAATCTGTTGAATATCATAGCTTAGCCTAGCCTAACTCAAATGTGCTCAGACCCTTATATTAGCCTACAGTTAGGTAAAAATCATCAAACACAAAGTGTGTTTAATAATAAAGTATTGACTATCTCATGTAATTTATTGAATACTATACTGACAGTGAAAGACAGACTGGTTGTGTGGGGATTGCTTTTGTACCATCATAAAGTAGAAAAATCATAAGTTGAACCATCATCAATTGGGACTGTTTATATGCAGTTTCTCCAGGTGTCACAATTATGTCCTTTACAACACCCCCCATCCAAGATCCAAAACATTTCATAAGTTAGATTTAGTGGCCATGTCTCGTCAGTCTTTACTCTGGACTTTATGACATGGACAGTTTCAAAAACAATCTTTCAATTTGGGTTTGCTAATAGCAAACAATTAGATTCAGATTATTCAATTTTTGAGAGGAAGTTAACAAAAATTGACGCCATGTTCTCAGTGCCTTGTGTTGAGAGGCATTCAATATCCATTTGTCCTGTTACTGAAAATGTTTACTTTGACTACCTGGTTAAAGTACTGTCAAGCATCTGCACTTTCCAATGTAATTAATAAGTGTTTCATAGAGGACTAGTTTGAGACTATGTAAATACCCCATTTCTCATATTTTTGCCCACTTATTATAGCACACATCAGTGATTCCTACCTGTGACAATGAATTATTATGCTGTTTCCCTAATGGTGTTTTTCTAATTCTGTCATTTCTACATTTATAAGTTGGCATTGTATTATAAGAAGAAATATTCCTAGCTCTGACTCCTGAAAAGACAATGACATGCCAGGCATGAGTGCACCTTGATTTATAATTACTAACAGGAACTAGAGCTTTGGGGAGAAATGGCTTACTCCAGAGCTAATACAGACAAAGTACAAAATAATCACTGAAGAACTGCTAGAAAGTAAGGAACTGCTCAAAATATGGGACCTGTTCAAATGACACAGGAACCAGTTTGAAAGAGCTTCCTCTGGCCAAGGCTAGGACAATTTAAGTAGCAAAATCCTTTTTTTTTTTAAAGAAACAGGATCTTGCTATGTTGCCCAGGCTATCCCTGAATTCTGGGCTCAAGAGATCCTCCTGCCTCAGCCTCCTGAGTAACTGGGATTTTAGGCATGTACCACTGTATCCAGCTTTACAAAATCCATTTTATAACATTTCATCACCTCAAAAACAAACCCCACCCTTTAGCTATCCTCTTCTTCTCCCCACCCTTCCTCATGTCCCCCAACCCCTAAACAACCACTAATCTACTTGCTATCACTATATCCTTCTTTATTCTAGACATTTCATATGAATGAAATCATATAATATGTGGTCTTTAAGCTTCTTTCACTTAGAATAATGTTTTGAAGGCCCATCCATGTTGCAACATCATTTTTTTTATGTCTGAACATTATTCCACTATATAGATATACCACATTTCCTTTATCCACGAATCTGTTGTCATTCTAAATATTCACGTATATACTCCTAGGAGTGGAATTGCTGGTTCAAATAGTAGCTCTGTTTATTCTTTGAGGAACTGCCAGACTCTTTCCCAAATCTGCTGCACCATTTTACACTCCTATTAGTGTATAAAAGTCCCAATTTCTTTATATCCTCACCAATACTTGCTATTTTCTTATTTTTTTGATTCTAGCCTTTCTAATGAGTGTGAAAGGTAGTACCTTGTAGTTTTGATTTACATTTTTCCTGATAATTTTTGATGTTAAACATCTTTTCATAATGCTTGTTGGTCATTATACCTTCATGTCTGAAGGATAATTTTGCCAGATACAGAATTTAGGATAGACAATTCATTTCATTCAGCCCTTGAAAAATGTGCAACTTCCTTTTCTTACCTTCATGGTTTCTGATAAGAAATCAGCTGTCACTTTATCTTTCTCCTGTAGGTAAGGTGTCACTTCTCTCTTGCTGATTTCATAATTTTTCCTTTGTCTTTAGTTTTCTGAAGTTTGATTATGCTGCACCCTGGCATAGATTTCTTTGGTTTACACTTTTGGGATTTTCTCAAATTCTTAAATCTCTAGTTTGGCATATTTTGCCAAATTTTTCAGCCATTGTTTCTTCAAATATATTCTTTTTCATCTGATATTCTTTCTCCTCTCTTTCTGAGACTCTGATGAACATGAATATCAAATCTTTTTTTATAGTCTCATAGGCTCCTGAGACCCTGTTCATTTTTGCTTTCTGTTCAAATTGGGAAATTTCTATTCTTCTACTCCCAAGTTCTCTGATGCTTTTCTCTATTCTGCTGTGGAGCCCATCCACTGAGTTTTTAATTTTAGTTATTCTATTTTTCAGTTATTAAATTTTCATTTAGTTTTTTATTATATCTTCTATTTCTTTACTGAGACTTTTCTAGTTTTGCATTTCTTTTAGGATACTGATATTTTTTATGATGGCTGCTTTAAAATTTCCACTTAGTAATAGGAATAGCTTTATTTGTCAGATTATTTTAATGTCTATATCATCTTCATATTGGTGTCTCTTAATGGCCTTTTCTCATTCAAGTTCACATTTTCCTGGTTCTTCATAAGATCCCTGATTTTCAGTACATCTTAGTTGTTTTGGAGAATTATGGGAATCTGGGAAATTATTTAAATCTAATTCATAGAAGACCTCCTCTGACACTGTTCTGCTACAAAGCAGGACTCTCCCCCCCTTACTGCCAAGTGGAGGTGGGAGTTAATAATCCCCACTGACCTTTTTTTAACACCCTGGCAAGGGCAAGCACTTTTTTTTTTCCAGTACAGAGGATTGAACCCAGGGATGCTTTACCACAAACTACATCTCCAGGCTTTTTTATTTTATTTTGAGACAGGGTCTCACTAAATTGCCCAGGGTGGCCTTGATCTGGCAATCCTCCTGCCTTGGCTACCAGTATTATAGGTGTGCACCACTGTGTCTCATGTGAGGGGTGCTTTGTTATTGTCAGTTAGGGGCACAATTTCAGGCTCCCCACCAGATCTCTTCTAACTCCACATTGGTGGAAAAGTGGGTGTGGGTGGGAGTCTGAGATCCCCACATGGCCTAAACTGATAGCATGGGAGAGATTCCTCATTCCCCCCAGGGCAGGGATGAAAATCTAGGCTGCCCACTGGGCCTTTGATGATGGGGGTGAGGGTCAATGCTTGGCTGGATTAGGGAGCTTTTCTGTTTTGTTTTGTTTTTTCTTGATTTGCTAGGTTGCTCTTTTCTCAGATCTTTGCCTAGACAGCAAGCTTTCCTTGGGGCTTTTATCCAAGCCCATTGCCCTTCTGGGTTTCCAACTTATCCAGCACTAGTCCAGGATATCTGAGGCCAGAAGAAAACTCAGGGAATTCACTGTTGTATCATTCCTTAGGTTCTAGAGCCCCTTCCCAGAATGCCTTCTTCTCTTCAACTTTTAGTCTTCTTATCTTTGTTCAATGTTTTGGATTTTTAGCTATACTTAGCAGGAGAAATAGAAAGAAATGTGTCAATTCCATTTTTTCTATTGGCGTTTTTTTAATTTAACTTTTTGAATAGGTAATACATTCCCAAATCCCCCTAACATGGAATATCAGTCTAGCTGCGTATAGTGGCACCCACCTGTAATTGCAGCTACTATGGGAGTCTGAGGCAGGAGAATCACAAGTTTGAAGCCAGCCTCAGCAACATAAGATACCCTGTCTCAAAATAAAAAATAAAAAGGGCTGGGGATGTAGCTCAGTGATAGAGCATCCCTGTTACCACACACACACACACACACACACACACACACACACATCTTCATTAGTTTGTGGATAGGTTAGATACATTCTCAGAGGTTATGCAAATAAAAGCAGCTGAGAAAATATCCTTAGTATTTTCCTACAAAGACAGTAGATACTGTACATTTGTTGAACACAAATTTTTAAAAATTAGTGTTTTAATCTTTTGTTATGAAATATTCCACATATTTTGAATAATATTGTTGAATGTGTCTCCTGCTGTACATATGCATATATTCCATGAGTGGAATTGTTACTACTTTCCCTCTGTGGAACCATAACAAGATGCTACACCAATTGAGTAGTGAAAGAGACTTACTCTTGGCTAAGAATGGAAGTGGACAATAAACTTGAAGATCAACTGAACTCCCCACCACCCCCCACGTGGTCAGGAGATTATAGATACAAGGTAAAAAATGAGAAGGAGGGATAGATGAATAAAGATGAGAAATATTGTTGGGCGCTGTAGCACATGCCTGTAATCCCAGTGATTTGGGAGGCTGAGTCAGGAGGATCAAATTCAATGCCTGCCTCAGCAATTTAGCTAGACTGCCTCAGCAACTTGGTGAGATCCTGTCTCAAAATAAAAAAAAAAAAGGGCTGGGAATGCACTGAGTGGCTAAGTGCCTCTGAGTTCAATACCTGGTACCAAAAAAAGGGGCAGGGGAGGAATATTAATGTGTTTTATTATAATGAAGTTAGTGATTATTTGGAGGTCACTCTGTCAGCCATCACAGGTACACCAGTTGCAGCCAGCCCACCTGAAGAGGAACTTCTGGCCTTCAGGCATCCTTTCCTCAAAGATAAACAAAGTTAAGGTAAGGTAGAAATTCAGTTAGGTCACCTAGTCAGTACAAGATTAGGGCAGTGCACTGTATTGTATATATGTCTTCAGCATTAACTGATAGATCTTAAGTACTTTCCAAAGTGGTTGCAGCAGTTCATATCACCATCAGCAATAACAGAGTTCTTTTTGCATCATGTTTTCTTCAATACTTGGTACTGTCAGTTTTTTTTTTTCATTTAAGGCATTCTAGGGGTTATGTAGTGGTATCTCATTATGGTTTTAATTTGTATTCCTTAATGTCTAAAATGTTAAACCTTTTTCCTATGTGTATTGAAGCCTTGGATTTCCTCTTTTGTAAAATGCCCGTTAAATCCCTTGTCCATTTTTGTACTAGGTGAACTCTTATTCTCACTGGTTTGAAATTCTGTACACCTTTTATTAGTAATATGTGCTGCAGGTTATCTTTTTATGTGATAGCTTTCTTTTTTTCTTCTTTTTTAATTTTAATTTTTTGGTACTGGGGATTTAACCCAGAAATTCTCTACCACTGCGCTATATTCTCGACCCTTTTTGTTTATATTGTGAGACAGGGTCTTGCTAAATTATGGAGGCTGACCTGGAACTTGTGGATCCTCCTGCCTCAGCCTCCCAAGTTGCTAGAATTATAGGCATGCACCACTGCATCTGGCCTTTCTTCCTTTTTAAATACTGTCTTTTAAATGACTAGAAGTGCTAAACTTCATTGTAAACATACTCTCATCAGTCATGTTTTGTGTATGGTACTGGGGATTGAACCCAGTGATGCTCTACCACTAAGCTATATCCTGAGCCCTATTATTTTATTTTATTTTAAGACAGTGTCTTGCCTAAGTTGTCCCAGTTGATCTCTTGCCTCAACCTCCTGAGTAGCTGAGAGTATGGGTGTGTACCACTGTGCCAGGATTCTTTCTTTTTATTTTGGTACTAGGAATTGAACCCAGAGCCTTGCACATGCTAAGCAACACTCTAGACCTGAGTTACATACCAGCCCCATCAGTCTTTTTTTATGGTTAATGTTTTCTTCTTCCCATTGGGAATTATTTTTCTAATCTACAATCATGAAGATAGTCTTCTAAAAGTTTTTGCCTTCCACTTTTAGGTGTATAATTTATCTGGAGTTGATTTTTTTTGCATATGATGTGGAGTAGGGATCAAATTGTACTTCTTCCTGAGCTGGGGTTGTGGCTCAGTGGTAGCGTGCTCGCCTAACATGCATGAGGCACTAGGTTCAATCCTCAGAGGCATTGGGTTCAAGCCTCAGCACCACATAAATGTAAAATAAAGATATTGTGTCTACCTAAAACTAAAAAATAAATATTAAAAAAAATTAATCTCTTCCTGTATGTACCTGTCATGGCACCATTTACTTTTTAAATTAAATTATTTGTTTATTCTAATTTGTTATACACTATGGCAGAATGCAATTAATTTCATATTACACATATAGAGCACAATTTTTCAAGTCACTGATTGTACACAAAGTTTTTTCATGGCATCATTTATTGAAAATGTTCTCACTATCTGCTTGAACAGCTTTGGCTTAAATCACATGATCATATACGTGGGTGTGTTTCTGTCCTCTCTGTTCTGTTCCAGTGGATTATCTGAGCACCAGTACCACAATATCATAAATTTCCATTGCTTTGTAAATCTTAAAGTCTTGTAAACCTTGTCCTCCCACCTTGTTTTTACTAATCAGGAGTCTCATGGCTAGTCTTGGCCATTTGCATTTCCACAGAAATTTTAGAAATGACTTGTCAGAGTCCATGAAATTGAATTGTGACATTGATTGGGATGGCATTGAATTGATTGAATTTTTGCTTTTTTAGTCTTTCTGTCTTGGGGTTTACTGTGTCATTTTTATAATGTTTTGATTTAGATGCTTAATTCATCAAAGTTTGGACTGTATTCATTTGTAATATGAATATTAAAGACTAGTTTCCACTCCAATTACCATGTCATTATCCTTTAAATTCTTACAGTACTAATTTCATTAGTGTTGGCTCTAGGTGTATCTAGTGTATTTTCTTAGACTATACTATAGTTGTCTCTCAGTATCCACCGGAGACTGACTCTAGAACCCACTACTGATACCAAAATCCTTGGATGCTTGAGTCAACCTTTGCACATCCTCTGGTGTTCTTTAAATCATATGCAAATGACTTATAATACCTGATTCAGTATAAATTCTGTATAAATAGATATGCTGCATTGTTTAGGGAATAATGACAAAAGATCTGTACATGTTCAGTACAGAAGCATTTTTTTTTCAATCCACAGGTGGTTGAATCCACAGGAATGGAATTTGCCATTAATAGAGAGGGTCAACTGTATCTTCTTAAGACCATCAGTTATTTTGAACTATGTTTTTTAGGGTTTTGTTTTATTTTTGGTACTGGGTATTGAACACAGGGTGCTTATTCACTGAGCCACATCCCCAGCCTTTTTATGTTTTTGTTTTTTTTTTTTTTAATTTTGAGACAGGGTCTCACTAAGTTGCTGAGGCTGGCCTCAATCTGCAATCTTCCTTCCTCAGCTTCTTGAGTCACGGGATTATAGACATGCCCCTCTGTGCCCAACTGAACTATGTTTTTAAAACTTTAAAATTGTGGTTTTTGAAAAGATCCCACTTATTAATGTTTGTGTGTGTGTGTGTGTGTGTGTGTGTGTGTGATGCTGGGGATTGAACCCAGGGCCTTGTGCATGCGAGGCAAACACTCTACCAACTGAGCATATCCCGAGCCCATTAATGTTTTTTGACTTAGTTGCACTATGTTTAAAGATGGTCTGTATGGTAGGCTTTCGTGTCTTGTCTGTGTGCTCCTCCTGAGCAGTCTCAACTGATTCCCTACTCTGTAGTGAGAACTTCCAAATCAGAACTTCTATCCTAGTCCATGTCATACAATCCCATGTAAGTTTTATCACCTTAATTTCAAAATATGACATTATGTTTCATCCTCTTCCCCACCCCTCCTATTCTGTTAACCTCTCAGTTTATGATCTACATGTTTATGTAAAACCAATCACTGAATATTGCCTTAGATTCATTATTTTTCTCACCCTGAAATTCAGCCTCCTCCTTCTTTTTTTTTTTTTTTTTTGGTACTGGGATTGAACCCAGGGAACTTTACCACTGAACTATATTTTTTATTTTGAGACAGGGTCTCACTAAGTTGCTGAGGCTGGCCTCTAACTTGTGATCCTGTGCCTCAGCCTCCCATGTCACGGGGAGATGTGTGACCCAGCAGATGTGTGCCACTGCATCCTGCTCCCACAATTCAGCCTCCTTAAAACATTGCATCAAAACTGTCTTTTAAGGGGCTGGAGTTGTACCACATATAAATTAATTAATCAATTAATTAAAGGTCCATCAGCAACTAAAAAAACTGTCTTCTAGAGGTTGGGTTGTGGCTCAGTGGTAGAGCACTTGCCTAGTGCATGGGAGGCCCTGGGTTCGATCCTCAACACCACATAAAAATAAATAAATAAAACAAAGGTATTGTGTCCAACTACAACTAAAAAATAAATATATTTTTAAAACTGTCTTCTATATCCTCAACTTCTCCATTCCATTGTTAAGTCCAGCTTTTCTTTTTTCTCACATGAACTCTATAGTGCATCTCCACACTGATCATCAAGTCTCAACCATTTCAAACATTCCTATGATGTACCTTGACTACTGTTTTAAAGCACACTATTATGATTCTGTCTTTTCCTGTGTTTAAATGGCAGTCCATTCTCCATGAGGAAAAAAAGGATTGTTCCTTGTTCTAACCCTAATATATCTCTACAGTTTTCCTCATAACTGCCTTCTCAATCTACTACATAAATTCCTCTCCTTTTATAAAATTATTTGAAATTTCCTGAATAAATCATGTATTTTAATTGTTTCCTTATTCCATACTTTTGTTCATACTTTTGTTCATATCCTTTCTAGATAACTCTAACCATAAAATCTCTGTGTAACCTAATCTTAAATCATCCATTACCCTCTTCTGTCTTCCTTTGTTGGTTAGTCAAATTCTTTAAGTCATTTTATATTTTATTCAACTTTATATTGCCATTGCCTAACACATCCAGCACATAACTGATGATTAAATATATTGTGTCTAGTTCCTAAGTTAACTAGAGAATTTAAAGAAGACCCATTTATCCAGGCATGGTGGCATACACATTTAATCCCAGCCACTTGGGAGGCTGAGGCAGAAGGATCATGAGTTCAAAGCTAGTCTCAGCAAAAGTAAGGCACTAAGCAACTCAGTAAGACCCTGCTCTAAATAAAATACAAAATAGGACTGGGCATGCAGCTCAGTGGTTGAAGGCCCCTGAGTTTAATCCTTGGCATTCAAAAAAAAAAAAAAAAGAAAGAAAGCCCATTTAAATCTCCATTTTTAAAGTAGAATGACATAATGGATAAATGAATAAATGTAGTACACAAGGAATGTCAAAATACTTTTAGTTAAGTTTTTACTTCTCATATCATAAAAGGTAAATCTAGCAAAAACCCTATATGTTACATTATGGTAAAAGAGCATTAAAAAACAATTTCTTCTCTATCTTCTGCCATCCCCCTGTGCTGACCATGTCACCTTGAACAGGGTTGTGTTGTTACAGGTATCCATATCATTTGAGGATGTGACTGTGAACTTCAGCAGGGAGGAGTGGCAGCATTTGGACCCTGTTCAGAGACGTCTGTACTGGGATGTGACACTGGAGAACTACCATCATCTGATCTCAGTGGGTAAGCACTGGTGCTCATGAGTCGGCTAGGGGCCTCAGTATGACATTTCTATTCTCAGCCACTGAGTGCTCTGAGGCATCCCAAGTGTGTGATGGTGTCACCCTTGATTTGACTGTGATTCTTCAGTCCCTTTCACCTCTGTCTATTTCTTTGTTCCATCAAACCTGGGGACTTTCCTGAAGAGCAAATGGGAAGCTTCATTGAAAGGTCCCTGAAACCTGATTGGCTAGACCCAACCCTGTATTATATTCTGTTAATAGGATATCAAGTTCCCAAATTAGAAGCCATCTACAAGTTGGAGCAAGGAGAGAGGCCATGGACACTGGAGGGGGAAGCTCCATGTCAAAGCTGTTCAGGTGTGTGACCCAGCAGATGGGGGCATAATGTATTTTGTATATAAAAGTAAACCCCACTTTTCTTAGAAGAGGCCAATGCCTGAGAAAGGTTGTGAAGATGATTTGATCTTGAAAGTTCTAAATTTTGGGGCTGGGTATGGTGGCACATGCCTGTAATCCCAGCAACTCGGGAGGCTGAGGGAGAAAGATTGCAAGTTTGAGGCCAGCCTCAGCAATTTAGTGAGACCCTAAGCAACATTTTCTTTTTGTTGCTAAGAATTGAACCTAGTGGTGCTTTACCTCTGAGCTACATCTCCAGTCATATATATATATATATATATATATATATATATATTTTTTTTTTTTTTTTTTTTTTTTTGAGACAGGATCTCACTAAATTGCTTAGGGCCTCACTAAGTTGCTGAGGCTGGCTTTGAACTTCTCTTGCCTCAGCTTCTTGAGTTGCTGGGATTATAGGCATGTGCCACTGCACCTAGCTAGGACCTTTTCACTCTTCTTACTCCATTCCTATCCCCGAGTTTAGATTCTTCCCTTGTACATCAGATGCTTTAAAATTTCTATTTTATTTTATTTCCATTCCCCATATCCATCCCTTATTCTATGATGGCAATTAATGACATGATCCATGAATTTATGTGATATTCTCATAAACCCTGAAGTATTGGTTTATGAGTATATATTTATAGTATATACAAATTATATTATACTATATATCTTAATTCTATTCTTTTTTCCCACTCCTCCCTAAGGGATGTTCGTAACTGTAGTGTGTTCATCTGGCTTTGTTCTACAGATTGCTGCACAGTATTCTGCAGTACGCCAAGAACACACGTTACTTAACCATTCATCCAGTGGACACTGAACTTCCAGTTAATGCAAATTCCACGATAAATGTACATACAAATTTTCCTTTATGGAGTATGAAAATTTCTCAAGGATGTGTGAAAAAGAGAGTTTGCCTAAATATTGTGTATGCTCAGCCTGAATTTTTTTCTTTTTCTTTCTTTCTTTCTTTGTCTTTTTTTTTCTTTTGATGCTGGGGATGGAACCCAGGGCTTTGTGCACATTAAGCTTGTGCTATACTACTGAACTAAACTACCAGTCCCTCATCCTGAATTTGACTAAGTACCACATATTATTCTTAGATTGTCTGCACTAATTTATACTCCCCACAACAGAGTACAAGGGCTCTTGTTATCCCAGTGTATCTGCTAACAAGTAATAGTAACCATAGTGTCTAATAGTACTAATAGTGTCTTGTTTTTTTGTCCAACAGTGGGTATAAAGTGGCCCATATGTCTCTTTCTGTCTTTGTGGAGTTAGGATTGAACCCAGGGCCTCAATCTTGTTAGGCAAGCATTCTACCACTAAGCTGTATTTTTCCCAACCCCCTTTTTTTGCTGTACTTGAGATCAAACCCAGTGGCACTTTACCACTAAGCTACATCCCCAATCCTTTTATTTTTTATTTTAAGACAGGGTCTCACTAAGTTGCTGAAGCTAGTATCAAATTTGCAATCCTCCTGCCTCAGCCTTCCCAGTTGCTGGGATTGTAGATATGTGCTGCTACATCCAGTGTGATACCTCATTTTCAAATTTTGCATTTTTTCTAGTACCTCATTTGAGCATTTCAGAATTTACCTGATATCTCTTCAAGTTTGCTTTCTATGAGAATGTTCATAATATTTTCATTGTTTCAATTGAATATCTTCAACTGTCTGTTTCTTACTGATTTGTATCCAGTTCATTATTTGCCTTTTTCTCTAGCCTTTTCTACAATTTTTTCCCATAAATTGGGTTGTCCTGGAAACCCTGTCTAATGTTCATCAGGCTTTTCTTCATGTTCATCCAGTGGCCTAAACATATTGATATTCTGATGGCTCCTCCTTTGATATCCTCAGTCTGGTGCTTTATTTCTTATTTTAGTAGTAGTAGTAGTAGTCGTCGTCGTCGTCGTCCTGGTAGTAGTAATATTAGTATTATGGATGGAACCTAGGGGCATTTTTCCGGTGAGCTACATCCCTAGACCTTTTTACTCTTTGTATTGAAATAGGGTCTCACTAAATTGCTGAGGCTGGCCTCAAACTTATAATCCTTCTGCCTCCGCCTCCTGAATCACTGGAGTTAATGGCATGTGCCACTGTGACCAGCTTGATTTCATTCTCTTATAAGTTCATTTTAAATGCTAATGACAGATTTCATTACCTAAAACACTCTGTTTATTTTGTCATGAGCTAAGACAAAGCTACAGTTTCTCCCTCTTGTCTAGTATGTGACAATGAAACTCTTCTTCCAAAGAGATAAACAACATATTTCCAATTCAGAATTGTATCTGTATATTTTTATAACCTTTGCTTAAATCCACTTTTAATATTTTCTTAATGTTTATCATATTTTGTGGGGATATGCAACTAAATCAATCAGGGACACTCCAAGTGAATTTGGGCTAACTAAATAAAGACACAGACATAGAAAGTATTGTTTTCATTGGGCTCAGTGACTACTCCTCAGCCACAGCTCCCACAAAGCGGGCAAGGCAGGCAAGAAAGAGAAGGAGCATGCCTCCAACCCGGGTTTTATTGGGGAGAAGCCATTTAAATTGAGGCAAGGGTAGAGTTACAACAAACAAGTGGGTGCAATCCAACCCCATTGGGTGACACCCACTCCTGGAGATGCACTTCTCTTATCTGAGTGGAGGAAAGGTTCAATTGCATTGCAGTGGTGCAATACCAGTTCAATATCTCTTTACTCAGGACTTAAAGGTGTGTACATAGCTCCTATCCAGAGTGGCTCCCAACAATATTTGTTAGTCTTCCATGAACATCTGAGTCTTCATCCTGAACTCTGTCTATCCCAATGACACATTTTCCATCTTGTGATCAGAGTTCACCTGTCCCATGTAATGACTTTTTTGTGGTGCTGGGAAACGAACCCAAGATTTCATGTATGCTAAGCACATTCTCCCACTAAGCCATACCCCAGCCAGGCAGTAGCTCTTAATTACTCTAGCACATGTATGTCTCACTCCATTTTTTCCATCTCCTATTTCACAGCAGCTCAGAGGAAAGTACAGAATTTTAGACTATGAGGCTTTTAATTCTATGTTTTAGAAAGTATCCAGATTTAGGAGCCAGCTTTGCCTTATTTATTTTATTTTTGTACCAGGGATGGAACCCAGAAGTGCTTTATCACTGAGAAACCTTCCCATCTCTTTTTATTTTTGATTTTGAAACAAGGTTCCACTATCAAAGCTAGTATTGAACTTGCAATCCTCCTGCCTCAGCATTCCCAGTGCCACCATGCCTGGATGATTGTTGTTTTTTAAGCAGTAAATTTTAAATTGACAAATAAAAATTGTTTATATCATATGCATGATTTTTAAAATCTGTGTACATTAGAAGCCTAGTTCATATTGTATGATGCAGGGTCTGATCAAGAGAGAAAAACCACACACTAATTTGAACAGAGAAAGTTTAACATGAAGATTTTTAACTGTAATGCAATTGAAAAAATGAGATATTAACTAGTAAAGAGAATCCTAAAAATAAAGGAATAGCAGATACAAGGCAAAGCCAATTCCTCCAGGGCTGTATGTTAATCTATTTCCTGTTACTGTAATAATTTTTTGTGTGTGTGTGTGATACTGGGGATTGAACCCAGGGCTTTGTGTATGCGAGACAAGCACTCTACCAACTGAGCTATATCCCCAGCCCTGTAACAAAATATTGAGGTGGGATAATTTAGAAAGAAAAGATGTTATTTAGTTCACAGTTTTGGAGACAAAGTCCAAGATCAGGCAATCTGATGGATTTGACCTCTGGTCAGGGCCCCCTTCACTGGATCACCACATGGCAGATAGCATCAGGATGTGAGCATGTGTGAGAGAGAGAAAGCACATGATAAGACAGGAAGCCAGAGAAAGATCAGACAGGGGCCAGTCTCACTTGTTTATACCAATCTTCTCTTGAGAACTAAGTTGGATCACATAAAAACTATATTAATCCCTTCCAAGGTCAGTGCTCCCAGAGACCCAGTCACCTTCCACATAAACAGTATCCAAGCCCATAGCAGTCTGAGGTAAAGTGCCCAGGGAAGAGGCTCCTCTACTTCCCAGGGATGAGATCCAGACCTTGTAAGGAGGGTATAGCTGTGGCTTATGGCCTGGTGAAAGAATTGCTGTAGTACCACACTGCCAGAACTTGCTGGAAATCTTCACTCTGAGGTTCCAGAGAAAACTCTTCATAGGGAGGTGTCTCACTGGAGGGAGTCTACTACAAATTATCTGAGAGGGGTGCAGAGTAAGGTATTAGGTGCTGGGTGCTACTGACCAAAACGCACTGCATGAGCTTGGAGCTGGAGAAGCTATTGGTGCTGTGTGAGCTGATTGCTTGGGAAGCCATATGAGCTGCTAGAACTGGGTGCTGAAAAAGTCATCCATGCTGCAGGCACTGAGCTCAGAGAAGCCACCCATACTGCAAGACCTGGGATCCAGGGATGTTGTGTGTGCATCAGGTGCCAGATGGTAAAGCCACCCATGCTGCAGGAATGCTAGACAAGCTGCCCTGGCTGGAGGAGCCTACTGAGTAAACTCCTGGAACCAGGAAGGAAACCCACCTTGGCTTGCAGTGCCTCTCCAGCAACTTCCATGGACAAAGTTTAATATCATGGTTGCTGGAAAGGGAAAAAAAGTACTTAAGGAAACCCAGATCCATGTTTTGTGAAGGGTGAACCTGGAGCTGAGAGGCAATTGATTCATAACTGGCACCCTTACTCTTCATTTTCCTGAAGTGAAATATGTAGAATATATGTAGTAAACTTAAATTTATTGAATTTTGGGAGATAGAAGCAGACATTATATGCTCTTTGAGAAGCACTTTTTTAAGCAAGTCTTCAGAAAAATACAGAGGACTGTGCATTATATTTTAAAAGGGAAGATAACTGCATGAACATTAACACTCTCAGCCTTTTTGTAATAGTTCTTTTGCTTATAACATTAAACAGTGACAAATCAAGTATCAATATGAGTGGTACTGCCAGGTGCACTGGCACACACCTGTAACGCAAGAGGATCACAAGTTTGAGACCAGTCTTGGCAATTTAGTGAGACCTTATCTCAAAATTAAAACAAAAAAGGGGTGGGGATGTAGCTCAGAGACATAATCCCCAGTACTACAAACACACACCAAAAAAATATGAGTGGCACAGTGTCTGCTTTATTAAATGCTGGCAGCTGGGTGTGGTGGCATACATCTGTAATCCCAGTAACTTGGGAGGTTGAGGCCGGAGGATCACAAGTTCAAGGTCAACCTCAGCAACTTAGCACCCTTTCTCAAAAAGGCGGGGGGGGGGGGAGGGGGTTGGAATATAACTTGATGGTAGAATACCCTTAGGTTCAATCCCTAGTACCTCCCAAAAAAATTAATAGCAAATATAACATCCCTAGAGTAGTGAAATTGGAGCTATTATTTTGAATAATATTTGAAAATGCACAGAAGAACAAAACTACAAGCTAAACAAAATTATCTTAGAATTCTGAGATGAATTGGTTCAGTTCAACAAGTTCTGCTGAGTGAACTCCTCGAACCAGGAAGCAAACCCACCTTGGCTTGCAGTGCCTCTCCAGCAACTTCCATGGACAAAGCTTAATATCATGCTGATCCTGATCCATCAATCAGGGACTACGTTCAAAGTCATTGCTCTGCCATTTCCTAGGCATTGTCAGCTGCATTGATTACTGTGGAATCCAGTAGGAAGGGGAAAGAGGAAAGAGGAGATTTGCCCACTGTCTAGGCCTTCCTAAGCAATATATATTGCTTCAGCTCAAATCCCATTGGTAAGAAGAAAGTGAGGCTGGTGAATGTAGGCCTAGCCACATTCTGTTATGACTAAAGAAAGAAGAGATCTTGGTGAAAGGCTTGCAGTTTCTGCCTCATATGGTTTTCCCTCTTCTATTTTATACTTCTTATTAGAAGCCTGTGTTCCTGAATCCAAGAAAAACTTGCAGCTGGTTTTAGAGCTGGAGCTGTCAGAATGGCAGGGTTGCAGTTTTCCTACTGATATAAAGGTGGTGGTGTTTGTCACATAGAAATGTAATATTGCTGCTGCTAATAGCTCAGCGGGAAAAGCAAGAGAGAGCAGAGATCTCACAAAGGTTTTGAGCTGATATGTAATAAGAACACGCATTTTGGAATATTTCTTCCAAGCCTAGCTTCCTCTTTTTTAAAATATATTTTTAGTTGTAAATGGAAACAATACCTTTATTTATTCATTTATTTTATGTGGTGCTAAGAATCTAACCCAGTGACCCACACATGCTAGCCAAGCTACCACTGAGCTACAACCCCAGCCCCCAGGCTTCTTAACAGACTTCAGTTTCTTCTGTTTACTCTGTTCACTATCCAGATATCCTAGCAGAGCCAAATTCTGAAGGTTCAAATCCCATCTCTCCCACTTAGTGATTTGATCTTCAGCAAGTTACATAACTTCAGTGTGCCTCCATTTTCTTTTCTATAAAACACCATTCATAGTGGCAACCACCTCATAGACTTCATTGAAGAGTCCATGAGTTACTGTGTGGAAAGCACTTGGAACAGTCTGGTGTGTCATAAATGATATAGAATCATTTGCATCTTTTAAGTGTCCTGAAGATTTTTTATTATTACATTGTTGTTATTATTATTGTCATATAGACACTTCCATTTCTGTGTGTTCATCCTTTCTGAACTACTTTGACCCTCTCCCATCCTTTGCTAATTGTTCTTTGTGTCATTCTCATTTAAAAAAAAATATTTTTAGTTGTAGATGGACACAATACCTTCATTTTATTTATTTATTTTTATGTGGTGCTGAGGATCAAACCTAGTGCCTCACATGTGCTAGGCAAGCACTCTGCCACTGAGCCACAACCCCAGCCGTCATTCTCATTTTTACTTTTCTTTTTAGGTGAAAATATTAGGAAAACTCAACAACAGGAAATTTCTGGAGAAGTTGCATTCCACTGTGAGAGATTTGATCAACCCACAGGAGAAGATTCATTGTGTTCCATTTTGGAAGAACTGTGGCAAGAGAATGACCAACTAGAGAGATATCAGGAAAACCAGATGAACCCTTTAAGTCTTGTCAAAATATTAATTAAGGAGAGGGGCTATGAATGTCAAAACCTTGAAAGAATAATTCACATGACTACCAAGCTTGTTCCTTCAATTAAAAGACTCCATAAATATGACACATTTGGAAAGAGTTTGAAGCATACTTTAAACTTACATAATTATAACCGAAGCACTGCAACAAAGAGCCTTGAGAGGATATTTGGAAATAGTAACAATTTTGCTGACAGCTCTTGCTCTACTAAGAATGAGAATACTAACACAAGAGTGAATTCCCATGGACATAATCAGTGTGAAGAACACGTCAATCACAAACAAACTCTCATCGATCATCAGAAAATTCCTACTGGGGAGAAACTTCACGGATGTAGTAAATGTGTAAAGGGCTTCAGTCAGAAGTTGGATCTCTTTGGACATCAGAAAATTCATGCTGGAGAAAAATCCCATGGATGCAACAAAAGTGAGAAAGTCTTCACTCAGAAGCCAAAAATTGATAGACATCAGAGTGTTCAGATAGGAGAGAAACCCTATGTATGTACTCAATGTGGGAAGGCCTTTACCTTCAAGTCAAACCTCATTACACACCAGAAAATTCATACTGGGCAGAAGCCCTATAAATGCAGTGAATGTGGGAAAGCCTTTTTCCAGAAATCAGATCTCTTTAGACATCTGCGAATTCATACAGGAGAAAAACCTTATGAATGTAGTGAGTGTGGAAAAGGCTTCTCCCAGAATTCAGACCTCAGTATACATCAGAAAACTCATACCGGAGAGAAACACTATGAATGCAGCGAATGTGGAAAAGCCTTCACAAGAAAATCTGCCCTCAGGATGCATCAGAGAATTCACACAGGAGAGAAACCTTACGTGTGTACTGAATGTGGGAAGGCCTTCATCCAGAAATCACACTTCAATACACATCAGAGAATTCACACTGGAGAGAAACCTTATGAATGCAGAGACTGTGGGAAATCATTCACTAAGAAGTCGCAGCTCCATGTGCATCAGCGAATTCACACAGGAGAGAAACCCTACATATGTACAGAGTGTGGAAAGGTCTTCACTCATAGGACAAATCTCACCACACATCAGAAGACTCACACTGGAGAGAAGCCCTATATGTGTGCTGAATGTGGGAAGGCTTTTACTGATCAGTCTAATCTCATCAAACACCAAAAAACCCATACTGGAGAGAAACCCTATAAATGCAGTGGCTGTGGGAAAGCTTTCATATGGAAGTCACGCCTCAAAATCCATCAGAAATCTCATATTGGAGAGAGACACTATGTGTGCAAGGAATGTGGGAAAGCCTTTATCCAGAAATCAACACTAAGAGTGCATCAGAGAATCCACACAGGGGAGAAACCCTATGTTTGTCCTGAATGTGGGAAGGCCTTCATCCAGAAATCACATTTCATTGCACATCATAGAATTCATACTGGAGAAAAACCTTATGAATGTGGTGACTGTGGAAAATGCTTCACCAAGAAGTCACAGCTCCGGGTGCATCAGAAAATTCACACAGGCGAGAAACCCAATATATGTGCTGAATGTGGAAAGGCCTTCACAGATCGGTCAAATCTCATAACACACCAGAAAATCCATACAAGGGAGAAACCCTATAAATGCAGTGACTGTGGAAAAACCTTTACCTGGAAGTCACGCCTCAATATACATCAGAAATCCCATACTGGAGAGAGACACTATGAGTGCAGTAAATGTGGGAAAGCATTCATCCAAAAAGCAACACTCAGCATGCATCAGATAATTCATACAGGAAAGAAACCTTATGCTTGTACAGAATGTCAAAGAGCCTTCACTGACAGATCAAATCTCATTAAACACCAAAAAACACACAGTGGAGAAAAATGCTACAAAGCCAGTGACTGAAGGCTGTTTCAGAACTGGAAAATCACAACACATCCATCAGATAGGTCCTAGTGGTAAAGAGGAATGCCTGATACTGTAATCACTGTGCAGGGGGAAGTAGAAATGAGAGGCAGTGACCTGAGGGAGCAGAAGCCAGGCAAACCCAAATAGCCTTCACTCAACTAGAAATAAAAGTTCCAGCATCACCACAATTGACAGACTCTTAAATGCACAGAAAGACCATTTAGAACATCTGAGCAACAGTTATGTTTGGTTACATGATTGATACTGAGGCTGTCAACTCTTGAAAATGGTAGAAATAAAGACACGAGATGACTCATCATCTCTTATGTTCCATTTTTAGGATGAAGGACTTATACATTTCAGTTCTTTGTATCCTGGGACATAAAAGTACTCAATATTGGCCCAAATTGTTTCACATTTCTAGGTGAGGAGAAGTTTTCCATTGTCCAGTTGAAGGGCCCTGAAGTTAAGGCCAAAAATTTATTGAAAATGCAGATTTGTCAGTAGAACCAGAAGAGTTTGTGATCCTTGATAGTTAAGACACAGAAAAGATTCCCATGAAGAACTACTCTTTCTAAATGAAAGAGAATTTTTAAACTTAAATTTTGACCTTAAGAACTGGAAAATTAGCTGGGTGTGCTGGTGCACACCTATAATCCCAGCAGCTTGGGAGGCTGAGACAGGAAGATTGCGAGTTCAAAGCCAGCCTCAGCAAAAGCGAGGTGCTAAGCAACTCAGTGAGACCCTGTCTCTAAATAAAATACAAAATAAGGCTGGGGATGTGACTCAGTGGTTAAGTGCCCCTGAGTTCAATCCCCAGTACCCACCCCTAAAGAATTGGAAAATTTGGCACAGCTTTGTCCTGTGTTACAAGAATATAGTCATTAAAGGTTATAGACATCTAAAGATGGCAATTGTTCCCTTATTAATTCTCTCCTCTGGCCACAGGTGAATCATACCCTACATGCTTTCTAACCCATTCCCCCAAAGCTATCATCTATATAAGCTTCAGAACAAAGACTCCTTATCCTCTTATTACCCAATTGACCCCAAGACAATGGAACTGAGCCACAGCACTATGGATTTTCAGCCTCATCCATGGATGTCCCTGCCTGCCTTAGAATTCCTTTTTGAAAAAGAATGGTTGAGAAACTGGATTTCAATACACAAAATTGTATTTTCCTTCCAATTTGGTTAATATATATTCACTTCCTACATGCACATTAAGGGTGGTTTTGTGTAAATTACTGTGTGATAAAGTCATATTGCATTGCAATTGGTTGTTCCAAGATATAGTTTCTTATTGTTGAATAACTGGGAGATTTCTCTAGAAAGAACACCGCTTTTTCTTTTTCTTTTTAAACTGGGGATTGAAGACTGAGCTCAGGTGCTTAACCACTGAGCCACATCCCTAGCCTTTTAAAAAAATTTTATTCTGAGACAAGGCCATGGTATATTGCTGAGGCTGGCTTTGAACTCACAATTCTGCCTCAGTCTCCCAAGCTGCTGGGATTACAGGTGTGTGCTACTGTGCTGAGCAAGTGCTGCTTTTTTTAAGCACTGATATATAGACAGTTTCCCACGTTCCCTTTAACATTTTTCACAATACTCATAAGAAAAAAGGCTTTCTTCTTAGCATATTATTTTATTTTTAAAATATTTTTATTAAAGTATAATGCATACAGAAAATGCACTTACATATATAAGAGTACAGCTCAATGAATTCTGACATATGGAACATACTCAGCTCAAGAAGCAACATGACCAGCACTCTAGAAACTCTCTGTGTACTTCCTCCCAGGACCTCCACACATACCAAGAGTAAACACTATCCTGACTTTAACAGCATGGATTCATTTCACCTGCTTTGTATTTTATATAAATTGATATTTCATATGAGTTATAGACTCTTTAGTGTCTTTCTTTTATCATTAACATTATGAATGTGAGATTTATCCATATTGTTGCATATACTTGTAAATAACTCATTGTCATGTTGTATTCTATTGTGTGAATATGCTTCAATATATTTATCCATTCTACTGTTGGTAGACATTTGAGTTATTTTCAGCTTGGGGCTCTTAGGAATACTACTGCTATCTATTGGTGAACATTTGTATGCACTTCCTTTAGGTATATACTTAGAAGTTGAACTGCCAGGTATGTATTCATATATTCAACATTATAAAACCAGTTTCCAACACCCCCAGTACAGTATGTGAGTTTTAGGTGCTCCAACCCTTAATATTTTCTTTTTCTTTTTTCATTTTCTTTTCCTTTTTTTTTTTACTGTGGCCATTACAGTTGGCGTATAGCGATATCTTAGTATGATTTGAGTTTTCATTTCATTATTCTCCAAATTATGATAGTACCTTCCCAGTATATGCAGACCTGAAACCCTGGTATATTCCTCATTTGACTACACTATTTTACATTTCCTATATTAATACATGAGGGTTCCAGTTTCTCCACATCATCATCAACTCTTATTTTTATTCGTTTTTTTTTTTTTTGTTTTTGTTTTTTTTTTTTGTAGTAACCACAAAATCAAAAAATCAATCCAAGGGCTTTGTGCATTCTCAGCAAGTGATCTAACCACTGAGCTACTCTCTTAGGCCATATCAGTCTTTTTATTATAGATATTACAGAACAAAGTGATATTAATTTTATGTTGTTCTAATGATTAATAATGTTGGATATCTTTTTTGAACACATATAATTGTCTGTTCAGAACTTTTACCTATTATTAATTTGGTGAATTTTTTTTCCTTCTTTTGGAGCATTTACATATTCTGCATATAAGTCCATCATCAGTCCATTATCCTTTCAAAAATTTTCTTTCAGTCACTGGACTGCCTTTTCATTCTTTTAATGGTGGTGTATTTTGAAGACTAGAACTTTTTTTGGACAGAATGCCTTTGTTTCATTTGCTTATTCTTATGTGGTGCTGAGGATCAAACCCAGTGCTCCACACATGCTAGGCAAGCACTCTACCACTGAGCTCCAGCCCCAGCCCAAAAGGTCAGAACTTCTTATTTTGTTGAAGTCCTACATTTCAATTTGTTCTTTTATGAGTTGCACTTTTGGTGTTGTACCTAAGAAATCTTTGCCTAAACAAAGATCACAATGACTTTTTTCCTGTGTTTTCTTCTAGAAGTTTTACAGTTTTAGGTTTTATATCTAGGTCTATGATCCATTTTTAGTTAATGTGTAATATAGTATGACATATGAATCCAAGTTCTTTTATGTTTTATTTTGCATGTGAATATAAAACCAAATGTTTCCACAGCATTTGTTTAAAAACAGTATTCTTTCTCCATATTTCACTTTTTCAAAAAAATCACTTGTTCACAGAAGTTCTGGAATGGTGAAGTAAGGAGTTTGTGTTAGCTTTTCATTGCTGTGACTACAATACCTGGCAAGACTACTTAGAGGAAGAAAAGTTTATTTTGGCTCATGGTTCCAGAGGTTCAGTCCATAGTCTGCTGATTTCATTGCTTTGGGCCTGAACGGAGGCAGAACATCATGGCAGAAAGGTATGGCAGAGGAAAGCTGCTCCACTCGTGGTGGCCAGGAAGCAGAGAGAGGGGAAGAGACTGCATGGAAGATAAATCCTTCCAGAGAATGCCTCCAGTGACCACCTCCTTCAGCCATGTCCCACCTGCCTACACTTACCACCCAGTTAGTCCATTAAATCTAGAATGGACTGATTAGGTCACAGCACTTGTAATCTAATCATTTAATTTCTGAACACTCCTGAATTAATACAGAAGGTATTAATTATCTAAACCATAACAAACTCATCAAATCTCTTATCCAAACCATAACAAACTCATCAAATCTCCTCCCCCCAAAGCAGCTACAGAACTGTAAAAGCAATTTTTAACTGTAAAAGTATTTTAGAACACTGGAAATTCACCAGAGGCATATCAAATTGGAAACTGTTTGATTGGAAAACCAAATATTAGTAAGACCAGTGGCATTTAAACTTGGAAATGCTACCATCCCCATCTCTGTGGGTATGGTACCTATGTTAAGTCATCTTTCTATCAATGTGACAAACTATCTCAGATTAAAAAAAAAATCTTAAAAGAGGAAAGGTTTATTTTGGCTTGGTTTCAGAGGTTCCAGTTTATGGTCATTTGACTATTGGGCCTGTGGCAGCATAGTACATCATGGCAGAAATGCATGGCTGAGCAGGCCCATTCTCACCATGGCAGCTGGGAAGCAACAGAGGGGTATGAAGGGACTAGGGTCCTAATATCCCTTTCCAGACTGCAACCACAATGACTTAACCTCCTACCAGGCCCCACCTCCTGCAGGTTCCATCACCTTCCAGTACCACAGGTTGGCAACCAGATCTTTTGACACAGCCCTTTCAGGAATATTTAAGATCAAAACCATAATAGTAGCTATGAGAAATGGAAGCCTCACTGAAACTGGAGAGGGTTGGCCTGACTCGGAGCACTATAGAAAAGCTCTATGTTTAGGGATATTGTCAAAGACAGTAACAAAAATGGGAGCAATTATTTGGGGAAGGCCACAATCAGAGCTTCCTGGAACTGCAACACTGTTTGGATAAGCACACCAGACAAAACTTAACAGGGAGATATGGAAAATGAGACAGCAAAGGTGAGTATTGATAAGCTTCCCTGTCTCTGGGAATGTGGAAGGCCATGGGCATGACCACAAAATATAGAAGGGGCCTTGCCGCAGTCTGGCTGGGCACAATCAGGAGCCACTTGTCAAAAGAAACTAACTTTATTTTTAGAACCACACACGCCAAACAAAACAGCCTCTCAGGAAAAACCCTCAGAGCCTCAACTGCCACCACCGGCTTTCCACAAGCCTCTCTCTCCCACACAAGCTTCTCTCCACCTCCCACAATCCTCCTGCTCTTGAGGCCGATTGGCTGGGTCACGTGGGCGGAGCCAAAAAAGTCCCCCAATGAGCAGCTCCGTGGTCTGAAAGGGCAGGGAAACAGCCCAATGAGCATCACCACAGAGGAGCCAATCAGCTAGATGTTGCTGGGGCCGCTGTGAGCCAATCATCAGCCGGCAGCTGGAAGTTTGCTGGCAGCTGGAAGTTTGCTGGCAGCTGGAAGTTTGCTGGGGCCCCTTCAGCTGTGGCTCTCAACATCTCCCCCTCTCTGTTTAAACAACAAGCATGTGGCTTAGGGACCGTGCCTGCCTTAGGTTGTCCAATAGTACATATGGTCCTTAGGTTGGTACCATTGCAATTGGATCTTACCCGTCACTGACTACTGGTCCAGTATACAGCCACACCTGTGGAGAGGTCTTTGTACCAGCGGGGGGGTGAGGTTCTTTGCCTCACCTCTGTTGGCCCCCAAATTTTAGCTGGACGATCATGACAAGCAGAAGGGAGGAAGATACACCAAGCCGATTGACGGCTCCTTTTAGAAAAATTGTACCACCAATGACATCATCAGCAAAAATACCCCAACACTACCACAAGTCGCTGCACCAACAGATAGTTCACAATGCATACAGGTGAGCTCACAATGTGTCCAGGCAAGTTCTGCAAGCAGTTTAGTGATGGCTATTGTAGAAGCTGTAGATTGGTTTTATCTTTGACTTCACCAGCACTGGGATGAAGATAGGAATTCTGGCAATAATGGCTAAAGAAAAAATTATGTAACATTACAGAAGGCACTAAAAGAAAACAATTTTCTTAACAATTTACATTGTCTTCACCGGCACTGGGATGAAGATAGGAATTCTGGCAATAATGGCTAAAGAAAAAATTATGTAACATTACAGAAGGCACTAAAAGAAAACAATTTTCTTAACAATTTACATTATCTTTAAGAGAATTATTAAATATAATGAAAAGGAAAGGTGAAAGTAAACAAACAGATCTGTTAACCTTCTTTTTTGTTTACATATTAAAACAATCCTCAACAGTTGTTTACCCAATTTAAATTAAACCATATAAATCACGTGAAAAAACAAAATATTTGGATCCATTTTATCATGAGCGCTCATCATATATGATATATGGACATACATACATTCAAACATATAACACAAAACACAAGTGTGCACACATAATATAATACATACAACACATAACATTATAGTAAAGGCCTTATAACTTTTTACAGGTGAAATCTCCATTGCAATGTTTAAAAACTCTATAGTCAAAAAATAGAACTGATCAGCAAAACATTAACCTAGGTCTGTATGAGCTCAAAAAACAAAATAGAACTTCATGATATGGCAAAGGGCAATAATAAAATAGATATTGAAAAAAGCATCCTGGTTCTGTTGCAGATGTAAGAATAGCCAAACTGGAGTTTTGGATATCAGTTGTTATGGATTTGAGCCAAATCATCTTCTTTTTGGTCTGTAGAAATCGCTTTAGTTAATCTTTCTGGAATCCAAATCGGCTGCTGTTCTCCCTGTGGAAACACACAAACAGACCCCCGACTCCAGACAATTACTGGGTCAGGACCTTTCCATTGTCCTGTTAGAATATCCTTCCAAAGTACCTTGGGCTTATGCACATTTTTTGGACACATATGCCTTTCCGCAGCACTAAGTCCTGATGAATCCAAATTTAAAAAGTTTAGAGTAAAAAGGGTTATTTTAAGTTTATCTTTGGGGAATATATACCCCTTCCCAATTCCTTCTTTTTGCTTTAATAAGTACATTTTAATAGTTTGATGAGCTCTTTCAACTATGCCTTGTCCCTGTGGATTGTATGGGATTCCTGTTATATGAGTAATGCCAAATGTTGAGCAAAATTGTTTAAAAGAGGTAGAAGTATAACCAGGGGCATTATCTGTTTTTAACTGTTTTGGAACACCCACAGTGGCAAAATTTTGTAAGCAATGAGCTATAACATCTTTAGTTTTTTCTCCGGCATGAAGGGAGCCCATCAAAAATCCAGAAGAAGTATCAACTGTAACATGCAAATATTTTAATTTTCCAAATTCTGGCAAGTGTGTGACGTCCATCTGCCAAATATGGTTAGGTATCAATCCTCTAGGATTGACTCCAAGATTAACTTGTGGTAAAAA